GGAGAACCTGGAGAACCTGGCTGGAGAACCTAGTGAGAGAACATGGCAACAGAACCTGGCTGGAGATCCTAACCAGAACTTGGCCAGAGATCGTGGCTAGAGATCCTGGCTAGGCTGCTGATCAACTGAATGCTGCCTCCGTGTCATTCCTTCTTCGCCGACTCCGTCCACACCTTTGGGGACCCCTGGACCTGTTGGGGTTGGACCCCAACAGAATATTAATCCTGCTCTATTAACTGTGATTGTTCTGTTCTGATTAGAAAGCACATTCTCACCTGGCTGGGAGTTGCACGCCCTGGGACATGGGAGCTCACATAGGAATGCAGTCCATCCTCCTGCCCTGAGAACTGCCTGTCATCCTGGAAAGATTTACAACCTCCTGGATGAGACAGCCTAGTCCTGGAGGCACCTGCTCTTTACAACCCCAGCTTCTATTACCTGTAATCTGGTCCCAGGGCACCTGGAGGTGCCCGCCCCCACCCCCGCTCCCCCAACTCCCCATGACTTGTAACCTGTAATGATTATCCTGTGCCCACTTTCCATACCTGCAAGTCCTACTTCCCCATGTAATCTTTGTCCTTCTACCCAATATAAGCAGCTGGCTTATGGGGGGCAGAGCAGATGTTTGTGGATGACCTGCTGCTCTCCCACGCTGCCCTCAATATTGGAATGAGCACTCATATAGGATTCAACCCTGCCTCTGCTGAATTGGCTCAAGTAGTGACCTCTTGGTTGTCCAGTTACACTGAGGCCCAGCTCCCAGCAGCCTCTTCCACAGGGCAAAGGCTCTCCCCACAGCGCTCGCCCTCCAGAAGTGTGGTCAGGCAGCTTCCTGCCCCTTAGTTATTCACACACCTGCTTAATTACAAGGGCCTTCAAGGTCAAAGTTGCATCTTATTTGTTCCTCCACAGGCCACAGTGTTGGCTCCAGTTTTTGAACAAATTTAACCAACACATGTTCAGAGAATCCCCCCTTTCTTTGCTGCCTTATCTATTAATGCCACGCCAGGCTTCCAAAATCTATCCCACAGCTCAAGTCCTTTCTTCTGTGAGTAAATCCTTCCCCTCCTCACTCCCCGGCGATGTGAACTTGAATTTGCTTTTATAGTCTAACAAGGTGCAAATTAATTCATTTTACAGACTGAACTCCTGCAGATTTGAATCCTTTGTCTGTCTGAGCCCTCTTGGGGGACAGTACAACACCCTCAGAGAAAATACGGTCAGTTTGAGCAAGTCTCAGAGCGCCTGTGCACTGGCGGGCAGTGTAGAGCCAGGCAGTTTCTCTTGGCCTTGGCTCAACCCCTCACCGTTACCATGGGGACCAGGGTGTCCACAGACAGGGGAGAGGTGATGTCAGGCCTGTCGCTTTCCTGGAAGAACATCCTTCCAGGGCCCGTGGCTGCTCTGGAGTCTGCAGTGTTCACGTTTGTTTGTGGTGCACGCTTGTATTATACATTGCACGGACCAGAAAGGAGAGTGTGGTTCAGGGGCATTTTCTCTAGAGTGAGTTGAAATTAACCATCCCCCACAATGCATCTGCCACCGGACCCACAGACAAGGGGGTGCTTCCATTCCCAGCCTTGCGGTGCCCACCACCCTGTGGAACAGTGGTTATCAAATGGGAACACCAAGACCTGTCTGACCCGGAAATAACAAGGCTGCTGATGGTTCTGTTACCTGTAATCTGGCCCCAGCTCCTATGGGCTGGGGACTGCAGTTAGGGTCCCTGTGTGGCCGTAGAGTGTGATCATTTTTGAGAGAAAGAAATGTTACCCAGGGCTGGCCCCAGTTCACAGTCACCATCACACATAAATTTTCCTCAGACGTCCATGTCCCTTCAATTGTGGATGAAAAGGGACCACGTGCTAACCTGATGTTAACATAAAAACATTCAAACCTGTAAAGAATTTTTGTGAGTTTATTTGAGCCAAACTGTTGACAATTGCCAGGAAGTTGAATAGAACCTCGATGGATTGAGATAATGCTCCAGAGAATGGCAGATTACATCTGTATTTATACATTGCCATAAAAGGAAGGGATGCAGGTGGGTTACATGAAGTCCATTGGTGATAGACTAGGGAGGCGGGAGAAAGCAAAGCAGGGAAACCTCTGGACTGGATAAAAGGTAAAATGATAGACACATACTTAGGTGGGTGCAGGAACAATTAACATGATAACAATGAAGGAATTTGTGGTCTCTGTCCTGGTGCCCAGGCACATTAGGTTGTGCTCCAAGGGGTCTGGAAAGGAAAGTTACAAGTTACCCAGACACTTCAAGGGTATCTATACTAATAATAGCCTAGGTGGTCATCATGCCCTCACGCCGTGATGCTCTCATGCCGTCACCAGGAGGCTGCGTGTGCAGCAAGTGCAAGCAGGTGGGCAGAGACTTGATGCTGCATGCACGGCCCCCAGGCCTCACTGCACGGCCAGGCCTGGGGGTCCCATGGCCCCATGCGGCGTGGAGGTGGGACCCCCGGCTCCAGCCTACCTCTTTGGGGCAATCAATCGAGGAGTCCCAGATAGGTGGGGCCTACCTCTTTGTTGCGATGGATCGTGGGGTTCCCGCACTATGACAGGGCACGGGCCAGGCTGGGGGACCCCCCATCCCGCTAGTGCATGAATTTTGTGCACCGGGCCACTAGTACCTATTAATTGAGCTTGTCAGGTTAGCATGTGGCCCCTTTTGTCCACACTGACTAGTTCAGGGAAGGCCTGCGTGGTGGCCTTGCAAACTCAGAGACCTAAAGTAACCACAAGGGTGGACTGAAATTAACTTTAACTAAAAGCAGCTTATGGCAGGGAGTCATGTCCTAGGCTATGGGATTGTTAGGTTCTTCCCTGACAGAGGTCAATCTTTACCTTAACTGAGCTTATTGTCTTTTTGCATCTATGATAACATGTGGTTGAAATGTCAGGGTAACTTATAACTTCCCTTTTTCTGGACCCCTCAGGGCACAACCAAGTTTCCTATGTTAACAGAATGATAGTACCATGACGCTGACTTGAAAAAAAAAAAGGTTCTGAATGGAATGTTCCCAGATTAAACTATAGTATCTATCTTTATTCACGTGGTAGTTTATCTCGAATAAAATCTCCAGCTGCATTTTGGGAAGCAAAATCAGCAGCAGGCCACACAATTTCTCTCCACAGAGAAGACAATGAAAATACGGAGAAACATCCGCCCAGCAGAGGGAAGGGAATGGATGGAGCCCGACTTCAGCAGATGAAACCTGTGTTACCGTAAAAACATTCAAACCTGTAAAGAATTTTTGTGAGTTTATTTGAGCCAAACTGTTGACAGTTGCCAGGAAGTTGAATAGAACCTCGATGGATTGAGATAATGCTCCAGAGAATGGCAGATTACATCTGTATTTATACATTGCCATAAAAGGAAGGGATGCAGGTGGGTTACATGAAGTCCATTGGTGATAGACTAGGGAGGCGGGAGAAAGCAAAGCAGGGAAACCTCTGGACTGGAGAGCCCGACTCAGCAGATGAAACCTGTGTTACCGTAAAAACATTCAAACCTGTAAAGAATTTTTGTGAGTTTATTTGAGCCAAACTCTTGACAATTGCCGGAAAGCAGAATTTCAATGAATTAAGATGATGCTCAAGAGAATGGTGGTTTTTCACTTTGTTTTATACATTATAATCGAAGGAGAAGATGTAAGTGGATTACATGAAATCCACTGGTGACAGATTAGGGAGGCGGGAGAAAGCAAAGGGGGGGGAGGAGGGACCTCTGGGATTGGATAAGAAGTAAAATAATAAACACATACTTCTTTTACTTAGGTGGGTGCAGGATAGTTAACAGTCAACCATTAACATGATAACAGTAACAATGAAGAAATTTGTGGTCTCTGTCCTGGTGCCCAGGCACATTTGGTTGTTCCCTGAAGGGTCCAGAAAAAGGGAAGTTACAAGTTACCCTGACATTTCAACCATATGGTATGGTAGGTGCAAAATGACAACAGGCTCAATTAAGGTATAGGTTGACCTTGTCAGTGAAGATACCAGCCTAGGAAGTAACTACCCACCATAATTACTTTTAGTTAAAGTTTTAATTTCAGACCATCCTTTGTGGTCACTTTAGGTCTTACAGTTTGCAAGACCGCCATGCAGGCCTTCCCTGAGCTGGTCAGGTTAGCTTGTGGCCCCTTCGTCCACACCTGGGCCCAGGTCTCCGCAATGGCTCTCTCAGTGAGAGGCTGTGCTCCATGAGAGAAAAGTGCACCTGGATTAACATTCCTTGAATATCTGCTCTGCTCACTTGTGCCAAGCATGTTGCCATGAAAAGAAAAATGGGGGCGGGGGTGGGGAAGGCTTGCAACCTAGTTCAGTGTCTGGTTAAAACTGTAGTCTTACTTCCCCACTGTGACTGACTTGGGCAGAGCTGCAGAGCCTACTCCCAGGGCCCCCGCCACAGCTGACTTGGGCGGAGCTTCGGGGACCCTCAGGGGCTGCCCAGGAGTTCAGTTCAGGCTTTGGATCCAGAATTTCCCTGGACTAACAGATCTGCAAAATAAAGGTTAAACTTGCCTCCCTCAGAGGCTGGCTGATCGTCCTCCCCTGCATTCTGCCACAACAGCCACATGCTGCACTGTCCCTTAACAAATGCAGGAACTGGCAGTGCCCAGGACGGAGTGAGAGCAGCTGCCGCCTCAGCAGTGTCCGGAGCAGCAGGCAGTTTTGCTGTCTTCACTGGGTGCCAGTCTGTGCAGGACTCCATTTTGCAGATAAAGAAGCTGAGGCACAGAGAGGTTGAGGAACTTGCCCAAGATCACACAGCGTGGCAGAATCAGGCTCAGATACAGCACTGCCTCAGGGGCCAGAGCTCTTATCCATAGTCTAGTATGTCCAGCAGGCCTGTCCCCTGGGAACCAGTGTCCCCTTCGTCTCATACATGATGGGGCTTTGCATCTGCAAGACCCAAGGCCTGGGGACATTTGTCCTCCTGTGGTCTTTAATCCATCCCAGACTCCTCTGAACTTCTCATGCTGCCTAAGAGTCTGTAAAGAATCTGATGAACAAACAAGGGTCTGTTTCCCTAAGAAATGCACACACCACCGGCCTCAGAGTACCATCTCAAGACTGCACAGACCCTAAGTCCATCTGCGAGCCTCCAGCTAAGCACTGTCCACTACAGCGCCTCCTATGAGGCCTGCTCAGAAAGGCAGGACGCCCCTGGGGGATGACTTACATGCTTTGTGCTAATTCTTCTGCAATCTGCCCTGGAGAAATTCTATTGATTGCATTAGATGTGTTTTGTTGTCATCCTGATTCATGTTCAAAACTGTGTTAAGTTCTGTGGAAAAACACCCTTCAAAAGGAATAGAATCCATTATGATAGCCTTGAGACTCAGCTCGGGAAGGAGCATTAACTAATTGGATAATTACCATGCAAATGAAGGAGCCCCCACTCAGAGGCTCCGCCCTGGCTGGAAACAGGACCCCTGCAACCTGCAGACCTCCCAGGATCTGAGGCCCTAGCCTACCTCTTGATCTGTTGCTTCAATTGCCTTCTGCAGGAATCAGCCCCCAGGCTGTTACATCCAAATTAAATACTTTGGCTCCTGAGCCTGGAGATGAGAGGAACTGGTGCTTCTGCATCACAAAAAGTGATAAGATAAGGAGGCTCCTTGCAGCAGGGAGGAGGGAGGAGGCCCAGGAGAGGGCTAAATCACTACAGTGCTCATCACGCAGGAACATCCCTCCCTCCCTCCTTCCCTGCCTGCCTCCCTCTCCCTTCCTCCCTCTCTTCCCCTTCCTCCTTCCCTCTCCCTCTCTCTCCCCTCTCCTTCTTCTCTCTCTCTCCTCCTCTCTCTCTCTCTTCTCTCTCTCTCTCTCACTCTCTCTCTCTCTCTCCTCCCCCTCCCTCTCCCATCCTCTCTCTCTTCCTTCCTCTCCCTCTGTCCTCTCTCTCTCTTCCATGTTTTAACCATCCTGTGGTTGTTGCCTTCCTGCTAAATTCCTGGAGAGGTGCTGCAGACTGTGGCCTGGGCCTGTGGGGGCCCTGCAGGGAGGGGAGCAGAGCTGGGCCCGCTTGCTGGTTCCCCTCACACCTGAGAGGAGATGCGCTCACCCCCAAAAGCCTCCCTGAGTCGCTCATGTTCCAGTCCCTGAGCAGATGCCTTGAGCTAAGGGCTAAGGGTCTGCCTTCCCCAATCCCCAAGAAGGAGGGAACAGGGGATGACATTCAGCTTTTAATCTCCCTGGTTCGAGTCAGTGGAGCTACTTCAAAAGGCTGTGAGCGCCAAGGAGGCCCGGAGTCCAGGGCAGCGGCAAATACTGTGGACTTGGAGTTGAGTGTTTTCACTCTGCCAGGAAACCAGGAAGCCTCATCAGCAACTTGCCGCAGTGCCGCCAATCACGGCCTCGCTTGGTCAAGGAGGAACTGTGACTGTGGGCGAAGGGGCCACAAGCTAAGCTGGCAGCTCAGGGGAGGCCTGCGTGGCAGCCTTGCAAACACCGAGACCTAAAGTCACCACAGGATGGTCTGAAATGAGAACTTTTTAAACTAAAAAGTCATGGTGGGAAGTCCTGCTCTAGGAATCTTCCCTGACAAGGTCAATCTTTACCTTAACTGAGCCCATTGTCTTTTTGCATCTAAGACAACATATCACTGGAATGTCAAAGTCATTTCCCTTTTTCTGGACCCCTCAAAGCACAGGCACCACTCTGTGGGGACCACAAACCCCCCGTTGTCATTGAGTTCATTGTTGAGTGTTAACCATCCTGCACCCACCTGTGTAACAGAACCATGTGTCCATCCTTTTCCTTTTTATCCAATCCGAGGTGTCTCTCTTGGCTTTCTCCCCTCCCTCATCCTTCACCAATGGATTCCCTGTGACCCGCCTACGTCCCTCCTTGATTGTCACGTATGAACAAGGTGCAGAGCGCCGTGCTCCAGAGCAAGGTCTCACCACGTGGAGGTTCTGCTTCCCGGCCATTGTCCAGTTTGGCTCAAATAAACTCACAAAAACTCGTCACAGGTTTGAACGTTTCTCATGTTGACAGACTGAGGGATTGGGGAAAGGTGCCCTGTCCCTAGCGCATCGCCCCTCCTGTGGGATTGAGAACAAGACTCCAGCCAGAGCCTCTTGGGGAAGGAGACTGGCTCCTGAGGGCGCAGCAGCCAGCACTGCAGGAGGCCTGGGCGCTGGAGCGCCGGGAGAGCATGGCCAGACAGGCGGCAGCAGGAGACAGCAGGTGACGGGGCAGCAGCACAGCCCCTGAGGAGAGGAGCCCTCGCACCCTGCAGCTTCCCCTGTCACCGCCACAAGCGCCCCACACCCAGCCTCCCGCTTGCAAAGCGCAGAAGGAACGTGACCACGGCTGAAAGGCTGAAGTGCACATGACGAGACCAGCATGGCCCCTAACCTCAGTGCTTAAACTACATCTTGAGACTGAACTGCGGGGTCTGGACCAAAATCCCCCACCTGTTACCCAGCACACGGCCCCGGGGAAGGCTGGGGCAGGCGCACAGACACTGAACAAGCAAGCCACCGCGTGGGCACAGCGTGGGCCAGTCCATGGCCCGGATGCGCTCACCTGCCCCCGAGAGGCCCAGGCAGAGCTCCTAAGGAGAGGGCTCAGGGTGAGCATGCCCCCACTCCTCACCCCCGTCTCTGAGAACAGGGGGAAGGAAAATGGGGACCTGAATGGGATCTTAGGGGACGTCTCACCTCTGCCTCTGGGACTTGAGCTTTCTTGGTCTGCAGCTCATCCTTCCCACCAGAGAGAGAAAAGGAAGCTCATTGAGCGCTACCTGGCCAGGGACAACCATGCATCCGGGCCTTTAAATGATGGGACAGTATCGTGACCCGGATTGGGCCCCACCCATCAGAGCACCGAGGTTGGGGCCCCGATCCCCAGCGTCACTGTACTGGGACACAGAGCCCATAGGGGGTGTAATTAAGTCAGTTAAATGAGGTCCTATGAGCGGAGCCCCAATCCAGTGAGACTGCTGTCCTCACAGGAAGAGGAAGTGGCACCAGGGTGGCACACACAGAGGCCACGGAGGACAAGCTGAAGACGGCCACCCCCAAGCCAGGACGGAGGCGCCTTGAGCTAGAAACCAAGCCCTGAACGTTGACAAACAACTTTCTGTTGTTTAAGCTGCCAAGGCTGAGGCACTGAGCCCGGGGGCTTTCCTGAACTAATGACTGTATCTTCTGAAACAACACAGAAGCTGTCCTTGGTCCTGGAACCCACCATGGCCTGCAGGGGCACCCCACCTCAAGGGGGAGCCCCCATATTATGCTGAGTTTGAGGTGGAAAAACCCCACCTGATCTAGAGGCAGAGAGGTGACCTGGAGGCAGAGTGTTGGGCATTTAGACTGGAAATGAGCAATCAATATGCTAAGTACATGCAAATGAGTGCCTACCCCTGGCAATGCTGCACCCTCTCCTGGGAGGCGCCCTGCAGAGTAGGGACCCTGCTGGGGTTTTTGCACCGGCAGGCTGTGGGCTGGGAGCTAAGAAAAGAAAGCTGGATAGTTTTTAAAAAGATATTTCACAACCACAAGCCGATCATTTCATCATTTGTATCTGAGCAACCAGGATGCTTCATGCATGTACACATGCATACACACTCACACACACTGACACTCACACATACATACACACTCACACACACTGACACTCACACATACATACACACTCACACATACTTTCATACATACACATACACACACACTCACTCACACTCACACACACTCACACACACTCTCACACACACACTCACACTCACACACACTCACACACACACTCA